TTTATTAACCGTTCGAGTAAACTTGCCGTGAAAGTTCATACGTATTTATAGAGCCTGTTTGGGAGTGATTTTGAGAATTGATTTTTTGTTCGTTAAGAGAAAAGTGTGGTCCACCTGTGATAGAAGAAGTCAAATATGAAGGATGGAATAGTGAAATAACGATCAAAAAAATCAATTTTTGTGATGAAAAAATGGGGCCAAACAGGCTCATAGTAATTGTCTCCAGAGCTAAAAAAAACAAAGTTCTTGTTTATTATTATTTTTAATTACTTATAAGCAGTATATATCATATCGCTCGAAATGTTAGAATGACAAGTGAATAAAAGTTTTGAGTTTTATGAAATAGTTCCATAAACAGTGTTTTGATTGATTTAAATTAATATTTAATTAGAACCAAACATACCTCAAATATGCTAAAGGCATATTCATATACCTAACAACGTAAGTTAAGGTTTATGGTGTAAAATTGAAGGATTAGACATGTACTTTCAAAGTTTAAGGACTTCTTGCGAAGAAGGTGTGCAATTAAGGGATTAAACATGTTCCAAATTAAGCCTATGTTTTAGCTTAATTTTTCCTAAAACTCATTTTTAACCACCCATTTTCATAAGATAATTTTATATATAAACTCAATTTTATTTTTTTTAAACATAAATTCTCAACAAAAAATCGCTATTCTAAAACTTATTTTCGTAGGGTTCAAACAGGGCTAATTGGCACACAAGCATTTTGGTATGTCAATTCATTATTTCCATTAGTTAAAATGGGCGGGTGTTATTTAAAAGACTAATTGTATTTACAATTTTTAGTCATTGTTTGGTATAATTTAAAAAATAGATATAAATTTAAGTTAAAGTTAACAATTATTTTAAATATATATTTTTTGTGACCTTACACATGATTATTATTTTATTTTTTTTTATCAAAATTTACTTAAAATTTAGGCCTGATTGAGCTCCATTATACTAAAATTCATTTTTAACTACACATTCTTTGATAAAATATTTAAAATTTTTAACCACATATTTTACATCAATTTACTATTCAAAATGTATTTTTTTTCAAAAAATGGGACTCTAACAAAGGGTTGATTTATAACAATATTATTGGAGTGAACGATATATACTTGAAGGACGTCATTCACACGGAGTGAGCATCCAAGTTTTACGCAAATATAGTGTAGAAGCATACTTTAATTTTTAATTATGAAAATAGCTTATACAACAAACCAACCCCACTCAAGATTAACACGTGTGTGGTGTTAAAAAAACACGTCATTAATTGGAGAAACACTTGTATTGAGATCCCCAAGGTACATTATTTTATCCAAACATGACAATAGGAAAGGTGTCGCATTCCATTTATGCGTTAGGGTTGGACAAAATTTTCGAATCAAATTGATCGAATCGGACTCGAACCAAAGTGAATTGAACTGAGCAATTCTTCTTAAGCCTCGAACGAGTATCTGAATTAAGAACTAACGGGTTCGATTTGATTCTCGATTCTAGATCAAGAACGAATAATCGAATAAGAACTGAATCTCCCTAATTTTTTAATTAATTTATTTTAAACAAGATAAATTAATTTTTTCTAAATAAATTTAATAACTAGTTAATTTAACTCAAACTAAAAAATATGATTTTCCTATTTCTAATTTTCAATCTAAGCTAATTTAATCAGATTGACCTAAAATTAATCCAAATCTGTTATTCTATCATAGTGCATTTTCTACCGTTCTGGAGAAATCGAATTGTAGTTGGGCAACATTTTTTTTTAATTATTGTGAGTTCACTATCTTACTCTTTCTGTGATTTTAACAATTAAATTTATGAAAAACTCAACAAAGAGAGGCGCAAAAGACACATAAGATTAAACTAGTATTTTGTAAGAGCTAAGATCGAATATTTCATTGTTAAATTAATATAGTTTTGTAAATATTAAAAAATTTAAATATAATATGTACCTCAAGAACCGATTGGAACCGAACTGAAATGAATTAAACTGATTAGAACCGAATTCAAACGGTTCCATAATTAAATTTGAACTTGAGGTTTCACATACTAAATATCCAAAAATTTCGGGTCCAATTTAGTTCACTTTAAAATTGAGCCAAATTGAACCATAACAAGCCCTATCATGCGTTTGACGTTCTCAACTTTATGATAATTAGTGTTAAATTTATAGTTTCCCCGCAAATAGTACCAAGACCTTCAAGTGTGAGTAATGCTTTCAAGTATTATCGATGTTTTTATATTGATCTAGGTGAGATCACATATATCATTAAATTATAGATTCTGTTACGCCTCATAACTCGAAACTTCTAATGAAGGCTACGTGGAACCACGTGGAGACGTTTGATAGCCAATGAAGACCCAATTGGTCAACATAAAGAAGCAAGTTGCCGAATCATTGTCTCATTGTTCCGATGCTCTTCTATTAATGTACTATCTCATTGTTTTGAAGCTCGTCCAACAAAGCACTACCTCCTCCATCCGAAGCCTTCTTTTAAGTTGAAGCACCAGCTGTCTTTCAAGGAATTTGTAGAATATCTCTAGGAATGATTGATGTAACTTTTATATTAATGATTGTCAAAATTGCCGGCTAAAATATATGATAGAAAGTGATGTGAGGCCTTAGTTAATGAGATGATGCTACATGGTTCTGATCCAATGGTTATCACATCAGCCCAAACTCTATAAATAGTAACTCTTGTAATATTTTTGAAGGGATAGATACATGTTAAAGAATTGCATTAATTTTTTCTTTTAAAATATTGAGATGCGCGATTTAAATTTTCGTTTTGATCAAGTTACTCATAATCTCTGGTTCATGTACAATCATCTTTGATGATAGTGTTGGTACTTGAATGCTTTCATCTCGTGTTATAAATCATCTCCCACATATATAACTACTGCATATCTCTGATTGAATCTCTAATCAAAACGTGTCAAAATTTGCTTATGTGGCCGTGAGGTTGCCCGACATCTGTTGTCCATGTAGCCATCACGAATATCGAGGCTAACAGATTCAATTAAATATAAGGATTTATGATTTATTTGTTGACACGCTCACATCTAGACTAATGTTCAACACCATTGATACTAGATAGTATTATTTTTTAAATCTTCATGTTAATTATACGAATGGTTCATTTGACATGATTTTTACTTTTGTTTTTGTTTTATATAAGAAATTTTTTTGAGAAAACTACCTTAATTTTTGTCTAAAAATTAATTTTATAATTTTCTTGCAAATAGTACAACAACCTTTAATGTTTCGTATTAATAATATGAAGGGTCTGTTTGACATAATTTTTACTTTTGCCTTTTCTCGAGAAACTGTTTTAATTTTGAAAAGAAATTATTTAAAAAGTATTTATAAATTACATTGGATCAATTTCCTCTAAAAACTCGTTTAAATAGAAGAATCACTTTCATAAAATTAGTCAAACAAATGTAAAAATAACTTTTGATTCTTATAAGCTCATTTTCAATTCTCAAAAATCAAACCGAACAGCCATGAAGACAAAGAAGTCTTTCTCCTTTGTAACAAGTTAGCTTCGATAGAATCGAAGTCGATAATTTTGCTTTTCCATATGCAGTGACTTATCTAAGGCCATCTCCAATGTATGTCCCAAAATATCAAAATGCACCATTTTTTGGTGTAACACAACTCCAATGCAACATTATTCAAATGGTGCAAAGTGTTCAAAGTCATTTTTACCATTTCTTTTCATTTTTCAAATAAATTGATTAAGGGTGTTTGTGTCATTTGTGTTATATATTTTTTAATACAATAAATTATTATTATTATTATTATAATTATTATTATTTGCATTTAAAATAAAATTTTAAATGTGAAAAATAATAATTAATGAATTAATTAAAAGAAGAAAAAGTTTAAAATATAACAAACACAATTATTTTTTAAAGCTAACACGAAATATATTAAACAACGACATACATACGATAATCTAACTTTATTTAAAGAAAACGATATATAAAAAGTGCATAGTTTAGTAATCAAGAAGATCGATTCCAGATCCTTCAATATTGCCAAAATAATTTCCAAACAAACCAGATGAACTTTCAGATCCTTTATCTTGTTGTTAAGCTCTCTTCTGTAAAATTCTTGCTTGTTTTTTATATTTATTAATGAATTAAATCTTTTCCGTAATTTAACGTAATTGTTTATTTAGTAATTTACGTATTTATAAAATAATTAAATAAATAATATTTCAATTAAAAAAATTATTAAGAATTAAAAAAGTGAAAAAATGGTTAAACATTGTTCATTTGATGTAATGATTGGAAATAAATTTTAATTTGGTGTAGCGCTGGAAATGACCTAACAGGTATTTTCATGTATCACTATTGACTCTTTATTATCTAAAAAAGCAAGAGACAAAATGTCACAATCAATTATTAAATAAAAGCACAAAATCAACCCTAACCCAACTACTTCTACATTATTTTCCTTGTCTAATTTGAATTTTGTTTGTCGTGAAAGATGACAAAGTACATATATCATATACTTATTGCTAACAAATTACTAATTCATGGGATAAAAACTTTCGTTCATAGAGCAAAAAGAAGAAAGAAAAAGCCACTCATCTTTTACTAAGCTCTCGTTTAGCCTCCATTAATTTCCATTCCATTATATTTCATTTTTCTCTCTTTTATTTTCAATCACACAATTTTCTATAAAATAATGTTACACGTAAATCGAAAATTTTTCGATCTTTTTCAATCACTCATTTTTCAAAAAAAACATTATTCCACCCATTTCCATTTCCATTTCCAGAAAATGGGGGCGAAACGGGGGGATAACTTGCATATTCACATAGTAAGGCACATGTACCTAAGATTTTCTGTTTGATAGAAATTTTCAAATCTCATTTTTATCATATTTTTTTTAATAAAATAATTTTATAAATTTAAATTTATTCTCTACTTTTAAAATTTATTTTTTATTCTTAAAAAAACCCTTTTTGAACTAATCATGCTCAAGGGGACAACTGGATAAGATGTGTTCAGGCAAACAGAACTGTGTTCCACATTTTCAATTTCTAGTACTCTCCAAGTCTGTCCGTATCACAAGATTGTCCACTTCCGCGCTTTCCTTCATAGACCGTTCATTGCAATACTCGAACCCAAAATACTCTTGCGACAATGCTCCGTGACTTTTGGTGCTTTCACCCTGGAATTTGGAGCTCCGACTCTGATGATGTTGCCGACCGGGACCCGGTCGTTCTTGTATCGGGTATTGCTGGGTCGATTCTCAACTCCAAGAATAAGAAATTCGGGTGTCAGACCCGGGTATGGGTTCGGATCCTTCTAGCTGATTTGGAGTTCAAAAGAAAGCTCTTCTCCATCTACAATGCCAAAACAGGTTTTTGCAGCGTAAAAGTTTCTCAAGTTTTTCAAATTTGAATTTTCTGTTAATTCTATTTTAATTAGAAAATAACTTCATATTTGCATTTTCTTTGTTTGTTTTCTTCAGGTTACACGGAGGAATTAGATGATAGTAGTGAAATAGTAGTGCCTCAAGATGATTATGGGCTTTATGCCATTGATATTTTGGATCCTTCCACAGTAAGCTTCTTGCTGTTTTTATTTTCCTGCACCCATAATTTCTTCTGTTCTGTTTGCTCTGGCGTTTGCATGAATTAGTTCAGCTGCTGTCGTAATTGAATTTCCTGTTTAACTTGTGACCCGGACTGTTTCTTGGGAAAGAATGGTTGTTTGAATTTTCAATTTGACGGAGAATGGAGATTTTATGTTGAGGAAAACGTGATTTGTGTGTAGTAAATATAATTTACACAATAAAATTGTGACCGCTAAGCTTATGGTCGTGATTGAGAGATTTGGGACGTCTTCAGTTGCTGTGGGTCGCATGCAGGGGACTTGTAGTGAAGTCACGCCTGCTTTTATCAGTGTCTACAATTCCTCTTATGTCCCTGACATGCTAGCCATGCCCAAGGAGATGATTTCTGAATTCTGAGCCATAGAATTTGGCATTAGGATTCATGTCAAACCCTACAGAAGGATTTTCGAGCCATAGAATCTAGTGATAGGCTCCGGCGCTATATTTACACATTTAATCGAGAAATTAATTGACCTCCTAATGAGAATTGAGGTCCTTGGGCGGGCATCTCATCCCTAAGACTTGCTTGCTCTGTATGGAGTGTCCCGTGGTCTCTCTCATGCCAGCCGCAAGGAGGAATGCCATCAACTAGGGCCTATTGACCACAAGTTTTTGTCTTTATTAACAATGTACAAGGTAGCCATAAATACACACAGTGGTTACCGTACAACGAAATAAAAAGCTATTTGCTGAAAATTCTTCTGTCTCTTCATTGATTTCAGTGTCAAATATAAGTGGGCCATTGTATTTTTGTTTTGAATCAACGTCCATTTGATTCTTTGGATTGAAAGAGGTAAAAATGTTACTGTTTCCAGCCACCGTGTAAACTAATCAAGAATTTTTTTGGTTTATTCCTCGTTGAATTTACCGGACAAGTTTGAGTCAGAATCCCAATCACGTTCTTGTCAGTATCACTTCCGAGAGAGGCCAGTCCAGCGGGGGTTCGTCGTTGTTGCTGTAAATGGACGGGGCTGAATGGCCATAGAACAATTGAACCGTTTTGGTCTACTGGTGCCAAAATTTTCGAACCACAGTATCAACAAGTCCATTTGTCAGTGCAATTGTGCAATCTCATCTCTCTGTATCACGTTATCCATAGTGGTTTCATGGACTTTCTTATCGTTGGAAGCATCATGATGAAGATCTGGATGTGTGCGCTGATACGTAGATGATGTAGAAAGAAGCGAATATACAATGCACTCCAATGATTTGTTGGTTCTGTGAATACCAGGATATTTTGGTGTCAAAGCATCGTTAATTCTTCGCAAGAATATCAAAAGTTTGACAAGAATATGAGAAAGGCTCTCGAATTTTATTAAGCCCATGTTTGATAGACCATTATTTTCTTGGAAAATGGAAAATGAATTCCAATTTCCCACTTTGCCATGTTTGATGGCAATTTTTTCCATGGAATTTGTTTTCTTGCCACATGGACATTTTCTTAGTTTTCAAGGGTGGGAATTGGTTTTCTAGGCTATGTTGCCGAATTTTTGTTCGTTTTTATTTTTTGGCAATGGAAACAAATTCTATCCCTAATTGTAAAAAAATATTGTCCTTTAATTGATAATTTTCATATAAGACAAAGTCAAACGAACACAAAAAGATAGATAATTTTCCTTGGTTTTTTCTAGGCAATTCAATTCTTTAGAATTCGTTTTCTTTTCACCCAAATTTCATCTTTACAATCAAACGGACCATAATAACAAAAAGTCAATGAAAAACAATGCACACACTAAGCCCTTGTTTGACATCAATTAAATCAAAACTCTTTATTTTATTTTTTTTAAACTCATTTTCAACCACACTTTCACTCCATAAAATATTTTGCACGTAATCCCAAAATTTTCCTTACTTTATAGCATACATTCTCCCAAAAAAAAAAAAAAAAAAAAAAAAAAAAAAAA